CTCAAAAACAATGGCAATGGGTTTTTGATCCTACTGCACGTACTGGCTTTGGGGGAGCCTAGGCAGTTTGGATGCTCACCATACTAGACCTGGATGGAGGTGGGCGGTCCTTGGAACCCTGATTGCTCTTCGAGCTGATGAGGGAGAGGGAATTGATCGGGGGAGGGGGAGGGAAATGGGAGGCGGTGGCGGGGAGGAGGCAGAAATCCTTAATAAATAAATAAATTAAATTAAAAAAAATAAAAATAAATCAGAAGAAAAAAAAGGTTTTTAGTCTCACAAAAATAGGAGCCAAGCAAAGCTTCTGGGTAACAACATTTTTTCAGATAGGCTCTGTTTGTCGGTGGCGAGCAGGGGCACCACAGCTCCACTAACAGAAGGCTTACTGAGTTAGTATAAGGAATGATGGTTTCCTAGTTCATGCTGGTATCATGAACACTGACTATTTAAGGAGGCCAAGCACTTAAATGGGTTTTGTGAACAGCATGCTACTAGCTGCTTAATGGTGAAATAGACCCACTGCAACCCTGGAGCTAGGGTGGAGAACATGGCTCTCAGAGGCAGTGAACATGCCTCCACCATGTTAAACTGGGCAGAGCCTAAAGGCAAAGCAACCTTAGTCCTAGCCACACCCTCTTAGCATATAAAAAAAAAGTGCTTCTAGTCAAAAAAATTACAGATATGCACAAAATAAGGACAAATTTATTTGAAAAGACCTCTAAATGGGTCACATTGTTAGATAAATGTATGTAGGCTTAGCAGAGAGAAGAAAAACAATGAACAGTTATAAAAGGAAGTGGTTTAAAAAAATCTTTAAAGAGACAGTCACAGATTAAAGGAGTAAAGGAAAAAAAGCCACGTAAAGATGGAAAATATACAGAGAATCTGGATTATGTATATTATTGTATTTTCTTTGAATTTGACTGTGAAGAAGCTAAGTACAGAGAGACATTTCATTGTACAGGCTGCTAAGCTAAGCCAACAATTATTTTAAAGGTATCTTAACTTCACCCAACAAAAATCAGGAAGCAGTTTGGAGAGAACTACATCCAAATTCCAAAATACTGTTTATAAATGTTTATTTTCCTTTTAAGGGGATATAATATAGAGATGAATACTTTGCCTTGTTATGGATCTTGGTTTATTGATACAAATTTTAGGTCAATTTTATTATATGTATATTTCTGCTCTTGATTAAGGTATTGTGTTTGTACAGCTCATCTAAAAATGTGATATATAATTAAGAAATATAAGCTAATACACATCTATATAATAATTAAGCTTGTAGTCATGTTAGGTTTTCTATATGTATAGAGATAGATTTCAGATGAATAGGTATTTTTCAAGCCTTTCAAAAATTAACAGAATATGGCATTTAAGATGTTTAAGAAATTAGGACTTTTCATGGCAATGAGACACATCTATTACAGGCAGCCCCAATCTACTTCAAGGGGTAATGGGCATTCAAAAGGCTCCTTATGGAATTTGCTAGCCATTTGGGAAAGAAACAGCTCTTGCCTGGACTGCTTGATGGTACGCTGTATAAACTGGACTTGCAGGACCCACAGAAAAATGACTGCTGAAGTTGCCTAAAGAAGATGAGACTGCCTTCTAACTTTAATCCGTGGTGATCCGATAAGACACAGGTGGACACTGATATTTTTTGTATCTGTGGAGGTTTCCTTTGTTTCCGAGTATGTGGTAAATTTTCGAGAAGGTTCCATGAGCTGCAGAGAAGGTACATTCTTTCCTATTTGGGTGGAATGTTCTATAGATGTCTGTTTAGTCCATTTGCTTCATTACCTCCAACAGTTCTCTTAATTCTCTATTAGGTTTCTGTCTGATTGACCTTTCCATTGCTGAGAGAGGTGTATTGAAGTCTTCTACTACTAGTGTGTGTGGTTTGATGTCTGCCTTGAGTTTTAGTAATATTTCTTTTACATAAGTGGGTGCTTTTATATTAGGGGCGTAGATATTCAGGATTGAGACGTCATCCTGATGAATTGTTCCTGTTATGAGTATAAAGTGTCCATCTCGATCTCTTCTGATTGATTTTAGTTTGAAGTCAGTTTTCTTAGAAATTAGTATGGCCACACCTGCTTTTTTGTTAGGACCATTTGCTTGAAAGACCTTTTCCCAACCCTTTACTCTGAGTAGATGCCTGTCTTTGTGGTTGAGATGTGTTTCTTGCAAACAGCAGAATGTTGGATCCTGTTTTCGTATCCAATCTCTTAGCCTGTGCCTTTTCATAGGTGAATTGAGACCATTAATATTAAGCGATATTAATGACCAGTGGTTGTTTACTTCGGTTATTGTTATTGTTTTGGTAGTAGAGTTTGTGTTTCTCCCTTCTTTGAGTTGTGCTGGTGAAGGGTTGCTAGATGCCTGAGTTATTGTAGGCAGTGTTGGCAATGTTGGATTCCTTGGGTTGCGATTTTCCTTCTATTACTTTCTGTAGGGCTGGATTTGTGGCTATGTATTGTTTAAATTTGTTCTTATCCTGGAATGTCTTGTTTTCTCCATTGATAGTGAACATTAGCTTGGCTGGGTATAATAGTGTGGGTTTGCATCCATGGTCTCTTAGCTTCTGCAGTATTTCTATCCAGGACCTTCTGGCTTTCATGGCTTCCATAGAGAAGTCAGGTGTAAGTCTGATCGGTTTACCTTTATAAGTTACTTGCCCTTTTTCCTTTGCAGCTCTTAATATTCTTTCTTTAACCTATATATTTTGTGTTTTGATTATTATATGGCGAGGGGATGTTTTTCTTTGATCCAACAACAATGCTAACCCCAGAAAGCCGACAAACTCATGGAAACTGAACAGTCAACTACTGAACCACACCTGGGTCAAGGAAGAAATCAAGAAAGAAATTAAAGTCTTCCTTGAATTTAATGAAAATAAAGGGACAACATACTCAAACCTATGGGACACTATGAAAGCAGTGCTAAGAGGAAAGTTCATAGAACTAAGTGCCCACTTAAAGAAAACGGAGAAAGCATACATCGCGGACTTAACAGCACACCTGAAAGCTTTAGAAAAAAAAGAAGCAGACGCGCCCAGGAGAAGTAGAAGGCTGGAAATAATCAAACTGAGGGCTGAAATCAACAAAATAGAAACACAGAAAACAGTCCAAAGAATCAATGAAACAAAAAGTTGGTTCTTGGAGAAAATCAACAAGATCGACAAACCTGAAAAAGCCTGGGATAAAACCAGACTCAATGAACATAGCGGACAATGAGGACTACTGAGAACTCAAGAACAATGGCAATGGGTTTCTGATCCTACTGCACGTACTGGCTTTGTGGGAGCCTAGGCAGTTTGGATGCTCACCTTACTAGACCTGGATGGAGGTGGGGGTTCCTTGGACATCCCACAGGGCAGGGAACCCTGATTGCTCTTTGGGCTGACGAGGGAGGGGGACTTGATTGGGGGAGGAGAAGGGAATTGGGTGGCGGGGAAGAGACAGAAATCTTTAATAAATAAATAAATTTATTTAAAAAAAAAAAAAGATGAGACTGTCCTTCAATGTTCGCCTTCATGAAAGAGCCTGCCAGACATTCTGCAGGACACAGAAGAAAGTGACTGACAAACTGTCAATATAGGCAGAACTGTCTTTAAAATTCCCTGCTTCATAGAAACATCTGCCCAGTTCTATGGCCTGTAGACTGAAGATGGATGCCCCAATGGTACAGAAGAACTTGGGGTAAACTTATCCAGGCAGCAAGATGTCTTTGTCAATTTTAGAATTTTGGAAGTTGCTTACAATACATTTCCTGTTAACTTAGGTAATATTATATCCTTCTGGGGTCTTTGATAGAGTTGAAGAATAGAGAGTTATAATTATAGTTTTCCTTAGTTATGATAAATGATAAAGTAGATATAAATATTGTAACTATAATTCTTGGTTGGTACCTATTTTGTTTTATGTAATTTTACTATGTTAAAGTTAAAACCTTCCTTTTTATTTAGACAGAAAAGGGGAGATGATGTGGGATTCCCCTCAGTATGCAGTGAATACCATTGATTTAAAAAAAAAAAGAAGCTGCTCTGGGCCTAGGACAGGCAGAATATAGCCAAGTTGGAAGAGAGAGAGAGAGAGAGAGAGAGAGAGAGGAGTCAGGGAGACGCCATGTGGCTGCCAAAGGAGACAGATGCCAAAACTTTACCTGGTAAGAGTCATAGCCACAAGGTGACACACAGATGAAGAGAAATGGATTAATTTAAGATATAAGAATTAGCCAGGAATATGCCTAAACTATTGCTCAAGCAGTGTTGCAATTAATACAGTTTCTGTGTGATTGATTATTCCGGTCTGAGTGGCTGAGAAATGAACAGGCAGCCTCTGCCTATAGAGTCTGAACATATAAAAACCATACAGGGTTCCAGCACTAAGAGGAGAAGTGGACATGAGCCCCCAACCCTAATCCAGAAGTTATCTTCAAGTGTGGAGTCTCACCGGGTATACAAACCACACTTAAAGGAGGCCCCATACCCAGTATTAGATGGGCAATATGTAACAAATGACTTTTTTGTCTCATAATGCTTTATTTTGGGCACTTTTAAACCTTACTGGTCTTTTCTTGTATATCAGAGTTTTTGATTTTGTGTTTCTATGGAGAGTGGGTGTGTTTGTGTAGGGGTGGGCATGTTTCTCATGCACCTTTATTTCCGTTTGTTTTATTTTACTCTGGCTTGTCTGTTTATTTTTTAGAGAGAAAAAGAGAGAGGTTATGGAGTTGAATGGATGGGCAGGTGGGTAATGATCTAGAAGAATATGAGGGAGGGGAACTTTTATCAGAATATATTTTATGGAAAAAAATTACAATTAAAAAATTGGGGAAAATCACATGCAATATTTGCCTTAATATTTTCCTAATATACCATATAAAAAGTTCAATATATTGAAATATCCTAAGATTAGAGCTCTTTAACATGTACATCACTGTTAGTTACAAATCAGGTTCTCACAATGCCAAGGTTTGCTAGCACTCTATCTTACCTTAGATGCCATTCTCATGAAGAGTCTGTTTTGATCAATATCTGTTCCCATCTTCTCATTTTTTACTAAATCTTTGAGACTCAGATGATCATCATCAGGAAAGTATCGGATCCTTTCTTTATCCTCATGGGTTGAAACCTAAAGCAAAGGGAACATAATAAAGTCTCAGCAAATGCTTTGAATGAGTTAGAAATCAATCATAAATCTGGTAATAAGAGGTAAAAAAAAAAAAAATCCCACCACATATCACAACTGTCCCTTCCACATGAAAGAAAGTCTGACAGACTGATACTTTGTACTTCCTCCCTTTCTTGTCTTTCTTCCCAGGAGGGAGCAATCATTAGCTGACTCCCAAGTATGGCCAAAGATTATAACTGTCCTGTCCCTATCTCTCCTACACCTAAAACTCCTTACACCTAAAACTCCTTACACGGTGGAAGAAAGACTGCCATTATTCAAGCAGGAAATAAGAATTAAACAACAACAACAACAAAAAAAAAAACAGAAGTAAACATCCACTACTCTGGGTCTCATGTGTTACAAGGAGTCAGGACTTTAGAGAGGTAATCAGGTAATAAGATGTAGCCCTCATGAGTAAGATCAGTATCCTATAAAGATATGACAGCACCTGCTCTGTGTCTGCTCTCTACTATGTTAGAATAATCAGGTAATAAGATGGAGCCCTCATGAGTAAGATTAGTATCCTATAAAGATATGACAGCACCTGCTCTGTGTCTGTTCTCTACTACATTAGAATAAAATGAGAAAGTATCACTGTAAACTCAAATGTTTAACCTACCAGTCATTTGGAGTTCTCATTCTCCAGTACTAGAAGAATACATTTCTGTTAGCCAGGCCACCAACCTGACAGACTGTTCTGATTGTCAAACCTATAAATTATTCATTTCTAAGCACTAATTTCTTCTATAAACAGCTTTATAAAAAAAAAAACCTGATATTCTGAGGCCATATAAAGCCCTGAGTTTTCCTCAGTTGGTTCCTTATCCACATGTGAATCACAAAGTGCTATTTTACTTTCTCCCTAGTTCAACCCCTCATTTTAGTATCCAAACAGAACCCATCCCCTAACTTCTTTGCAATGCCTAAAAACAATGTCCCATCATTTATTCTAACATTGCTATTATTTTTTTCACTAACCTGAACCTTATTTGATATGATTTCCCTGGCTCCACATACTTAATATTTGGCCTACACTCATAAATGCAAATCTAAGGCCTGAATGAATCTGTCTCTGACTTTAATCACTTGTTTAGTTAGGTTGTTCAGTAGTATGCAACTTAAAAAGGCTTTCGTGACATCTGATATTGTGGTTATGGATTCCTAGACAGTTCTGCCTTTTTAATTTTTCATTTATTTTTCACTGTATCTCTCCAGCTTCCCCATTACATTAGGCGTATCAATCTCATCTCTCAGTATCTAAAGTAGGACAGGCACTCAACAGGCAAACAACCCATAGATGCCAAAAAAATCCAAAGCAAACAAAAATTTTTATATTCAGTTATCATGTACATGATCTTCAATTTTAAAACAAAAACCTAATTGATAGAAAGTAGAGGTGTTGTTTTTGCCACCTTTCCATACTCAAGGAAGTGCTAAAAATTAATTATCAGAGATGGAAGATAGAAAAGAAAATACAGTGTTTAAAAAAAGCTCATACCCCCTATGTAATTAAGACATTACTGTATGTGAACACCCTACCATTAGGCCTCAAACTAGGTGTTTACAAAGACACCAGGTCTAAGAGGTCAAGCATTTCTACGTGCAATATGGTAAATATGCAAAAGAAATTGAATACAATGTCAAAAATGTAAACTAAATTTAAAGTTGCAGTAAGCCTTCCATGTTCAGTCACTCCAAAAACATAATTGAATTGTCTGCCTTTTGTAAAAAGTAAAAAGATACAACTAAGAATAAAAGTGAAATTTATTATTTTTCAATATTTTCATTTCAATAGAAAATTCTAGTCTAATGCAGAATGAACTCCAAAGAGAAAAAGAGAATTGTGAATTTGTAAGTGAAAGCATATGCTACACATACTCCTTGTCTCTTTCTTCTTCTCGCTTTCATATCCAGGGTCCCTCCAGGGGTGTTCACAGGCCACACTCTTCCAGACTCATCTGTTCTAGTAAGGATCACTTCTTCATCTTCTTGCTAAGAAAAGGTTTAGTTAATATTTAAAATACTTATAATGCGAAATGTCCACACTTAACAACAACAAATTTACAGAAAAGATTCTAGATTTCAGAAAGACCTATGGGTCATTTTAAGTCTCTTGGATTTTTAACACTCATTGTAAATTAACCATAAAATGAGAAACAAGAGGGGAAGGAACCCAAAGTTCATTTTAGCATTTTTATAATTCAATTAATGAGGCAATCTTCAAATGATTCTGTTAACCATTTTTAACTGGGCACAATGGAGTTGAATCTAAGGCGTCATGCATAATACTAGGTAAGCAGCCGAACACTGAGTTATATTCTAACCCTGATATTACCTTTTTAAAAAAGATTCTGAGATACAGTCTTACTAAATTATCCAATGTGGCCTTGAACTAACTCTGTATTTCACACTGACCTTGAACTTGCCATATCCACCCCCCCTCCCAAATCGCTAAGATTCCAAGCTTGTGTTAGAGGCCCAGTTCAAACAGTTTCATCCAAATGTGTGGAAAGAACAAAGATGGTGGAACGGCCACAGAGGGTCATATTGAAGTCTGTGGTATATGTTGCCTCCAGACGCCAAGTTGAGGCATATAATTCACACTGTAATCTGGGGAACACGTTTGTTATTTGCTGCCAGCAGAGCCTGTGTATCTGTTGTCTATGCTCCCACGCCTTTAATCCCAGAACTCGGGAGGCAGAGACAAGTGGATCTTTGTGAGTTCGAGGCCAGTCTGGTCTACAAGAGCTAGTTCTAGGACAGGCTCCAAAGCTACAGAGAAACCCTGTCTCAAAAAAAAAAAAAACAAAACAAAACAAAAAACAAAAGAAAAAAAAAGGAAGAAAGCCAGCATACGACAGATCTACCTGTCATATGCTGGTGATTCCAAGATTTCTTGATTTCCCAGACCAGGGTGATGCTCGGAATGACCTGAGTGAAAGATGTTATTGAAAGACTTAGAGGCACCTTAGCACTACTGCACCCCCCCTTCCTGGGAACCAGGCCTTTAGCTTTAGCATTAGAAGGCACCTTAGCACTACTGCACCCCCCTTCCTGGGAACCAGGGCCCTGGTAACCAACAACACGTACACGAGAGCTTTGAGTACTTTCCATCTCCATTGTATAGACCCGGACCCTGGAACTGGGGTGAGACGACCTTGTAACCGCCATAACATTGATCAAGGTTCCTCCTTGTAACCATGAGGTAGATCAAGGCTCTTCCTTGTAACCATAACATTGATCAAGGCTCTTCCTTGTAACCATAACATTGATCAAGGTTCCTCCTTGTAACCATGACATTGATCAAGGCACCTCCCTGTAACCATGACATTGATCAAGGCTCTTCCTTGTAACCATGACATCGATCAAGGCTCTTCCTTGTAACCATGACATTGATCAAGGCACCTCCTTGTAACTGTTACAACATTGATTAAGTAGAGTTAGCTCACCGTTAAATGAACTAGTCAAAATAGTAGACAAATGATTTTTGGGCTTTCCCTTTGATTTTGTACTCCCCCCCTCCCTGATTTTGTGGTTTTTACCTTTAAAAGAGCTTGTAATAGACAAAGCGGTTGTCCTTCTCCTCTCGAGGCTGGGGGACCTCTGCCGCGGCAGAATAAAAATTCCTCTTGCTATTGCATCAACCGAGTTGTGAATGTCTCTTGGGGCGACCACCTCCTTGGAGGGGCTTTAGGGCCCAACATTTGGTGCATTGGCCGGGAAGTGCTGGTCGCCCTCAGACCCCTAAGTTTGTCTATTTCTCTTATTGTGCTTTATGTTTATGAAATTTGAAGGAAAATTGTACCTGCGCAGGGCTAGTATTTGAAGGAGACCAGGCAGTGGGACAGACGTGTCCAGGAACACTCCCTGGCCCAGCCATGGAGGACGCTTCACTGGCAATTTGTGAAACTAGGAGCGACTAGGTCATCTTAGTTTCTAGGGAGTGTGGCCCTTATCGCCCACTCCCTTCCAGGTTCGTATCAGTTTGTTGCCGCGCGGCTCTAGGTTTTGAATCTGTGTCTGTCATTTTGTATTGTTGTTTTTGTCTTTGTGTTCGTTTTTGAGTTGGAATCTAGTGCAATGGGACAACAAATAACTACCCCCTTAACTTTGACTTTAGACCACTGGAAAGAGGTTGAGGACAGAGCTCGCAACCAGTCTATGGTAATCCGAAAGAAATGCTGGCAAGCATTCTGTTGCGTGGAGTGGCCCACTTTCGGAGTGGGCTGGCCACAGGACGGAACATTTAATCTGAATGCTATTTTGCAGGTTAAGACAAGATTCTTTCAGCCTGGCCCGCAGGGCCATCCTGATCAAGTTCCTTACATCCTAACTTGGGAGAGCTTGTCCAGAGACCCTCTGCCCTGGGTCAAACCATTTGTCCTGCCTGCGGGAGCCGGAAACCCAGTACCGGCTCCCTGGCCCTCCATCACCCCTATGACTCCGAGGACGGCAGCAACCCCAATTGCCCCTCCCCTGGACTCCTTGTCCTCTCTTTTCCCCGTGCAGGAGCGACCGAAACAGAAGTCCCAGACCCAGACACCACCAATCCTCTCTGACAACCAGTCAGACCTCCTGCTTTTTGACCCTCCTCCTCCCTATCCCCAGCGTCCTCCGCCTCAGGCCGAGGTACCCCCCCACCTCGCGCCTGTTCCCGAGGAACCTGCTGAACCTGATATAGATCCTGACAGGCCCCCTAGCCCCGGCACGACTGATACCGCTGGGGGGAGGGGGGCTAGTTCACAGCCCGCAGGCCTGCGTCAAGGTGGACTTCCCACGCACTCCCCATCCGCTCAATGGCTGACCAATTTCAATACTGGCCTTTTTCATTCAGCCTCTGATCTTTATAACTGAAAACTTCATAACCCTTCCTTTTCCCAGGATCCCCAGGCCCTGACTGCCCTTATAGAATCTGTTCTGATTACTCACCAGCCCACTTGGAATGATTGCCAACAACTTTTGCAGATACTTCTCACAACAGAGGAAAAACAGCGTGTTTTCCTTGAAGCTCGGAAGAATGTCCTGGGAGCTGACGGAAGGCCAACCCAGTTGCCAAATGAGATAGAGGATGCCTTCCCTTTGACCCGACCCAATTGGGACTTCAATACTCCAGTTGGTAGGGAGCGACTTCGTCTCTACCGCCAGATTCTGTTAGCGGGTCTCCAAGGGGCTGGCAGACGCCCCACTAATTTGGCTAAGGTAAGAGCAATAATACAGGGGCCTGAGGAAACACCTGCAGTATTTTTAGAAAGGAGGGGTACAGAATGTACACCCCTTTTGATTCCATGGCAGCGGATCGCCAGGCTGATATAATAATGTCTTTTATAAGCCAGTCAGCACCTGACATTCGTAGCAAGCTGCAGAGGATGGAGGGACTGCAGAGTTACTCCCTCCAAGATTTAGTAAAGGAGGCAGAGAGAATTTTTAACAAAAGAGAGACACCAGAGGAAAAGGAAGAGAGATGGCGCAAGGAACAGGAAGAGAGGGAGGACAAGCGAGATAAAAGGCGTAGCCGTGAGTTAAGTAAGATCTTGGCCACAACAGTACGCAGTGTAGAGCAACCTAAGAAACGCCAGGACAAGGATAGGGGAGACAAAAGGCAGCCACGAGTGGACCAAGATCAGTGTGCCTATTGCAAAGAGAGAGGACATTGGATTAAGGACTGCCCAAAACGTCCAGCTGAACCCAAGAAAAAGGCAGTTCCTGTTCTGACCTTGGAAGACAGAGATTAGGATGGTCAGGGCTCAGAGCCCCCCCCTGAGCCCCGGGTAACCCTTCTAGTGGGGGGGCACCCTACCACCTTTTTGGTAGATACTGGAGCCCAGCATTCGGTCCTCACACAAGCAAACGGACCTTTGAGTTCAAAAACCTCTTGGGTTCAGGGGGCCACCGGGGGAAAGATATACTGATGGACCACAGAAAAAAAGGTTAATTTAAACACTGGTCAAGTGACTCATTCCTTCCTCATGGTGCCAGAATGCCCCTACCCACTGCTGGGCAGAGACCTCCTGTCCAAAGTTGGGGCACAAATTCACTTCTCAGAAAATGGGGTCTCAGTCACTGACAATACTGGCCAGACTCTTCAAATTCTAACTGTAAGATTAGAGGACGAACATAGACTGTTTGAACTGCCTCCTCCCCCAGAGCTGCCCATTGATGACGAATGGCTCCGTGATTTCCCCCAGGCCTGGGCGGAAACCGCAGGTATGGTGCTGGCAAGCAATCAATCTCCTTTGATAATAGAGCTAAAACCATCAGCCACTCCAGTTTCCATAAGACAATACCCCATGAGCCGCTGAGACCCGAGAAGGAATCAGGCCCCACATTCAGAGACTTTTAAAACTGGGCGTCTTAAAGGCCTGCCATTCCCCCTGGAACACACCTCTTCTCCCAGTAAAGAAGCCAGGCACAGGGGACTACAGACCAGTCCAAGACTTAAGAGAAGTTAACCACCACACTCTAGACATTTATCCTACGGTGCCTAATCCTTATAATCTCTTAAGTACCCTGCCTCCGACCCCTGTGTGGTACTCAGTATTTGATTTAAAAGATGCTTTTTTCTGTCTAAGACTTAGCCCTCAGAGCCAGCCATTGTTTGCCTTTGAATGGAAAGATCCTGATTCAGGAGTTTCTGGGCAGCTCACCTGGACGAGACTACCCCAGGGATTCAAAAATTCTCCAACTCTATTCGATGAGGGCCTACACCAGGATCTGGCCAGTTTTCGCACCACCAATCCAGAGGTAATCTTACTCCAATATGTAGATGACCTCCTGCTGGCTGCAGAGACTGAGCAGGAATGCCTCAGAGGGACTCGAGCCCTACTCACCAGATTAGGTGAACTGGGCTACAGGGCATCTGCTAAAAAGGCACAGATCTGCAAGAAGCAAGTAGCCTACCTGGGGTACCTCTTGGAGGGTGGACAGAGATGGCTAACAGACAGTCGGAAGCGGGCCGTGGCACAAATTCCCCCTCCCAAAGGGGCACGAGAGGT